GGTATGTTTGTACTCACATTTGCTTAATTTATGTTTTTTGCAGAGAGACTTCGAATATCTGCTTAATTTATGTTTTTTACATATGTACTCCACCACCCACTTATGCTCCTATCTGTACGAGAAACAAAGTGAGCGGAGCGAATAAACTCATCCATGCTTATACCGTAAAAAATATATAATTCAATGGTTTGAAATTAAAAGCTAAACAAAGGATGAAAGAAAATGTACGTAGCCAAACGATTAAATAGCGCATGCACGCACGACTGTTTTATGCGTGTATAGGGTGCCAACAGCCCCGTTTGAGCTACCTGCAGGGAATTGTCTCATCGGATACTTGTCTATTAACGGGAGCAGCAACAATACTATGCAACAAGAACCACCGAATCATCTTAGATCCTTGCCATCAGCGGAAAAATTGCCTGGCACATGCAGCAGGTGGGCTCTGACCAAATCTGAAAATAAGCTTGTCATCAAGAACATATATGGTGTCATAGTTGTCGATTGTAATATGTAACAAATATAAGCCATCAAAATCATATTCGCATGCTCTCTATATAAATATGTGGACAAACAAAATGTGCATATGATAAAGCAGTGCAAAATAAGCTTGTGCTTTATAAATGATTATGGAGACTAATAGAATGTGCATATAATAACTCCAGCAAAAAAATCATATATGGGAGCTTGGGTGCCTATGCGAGCAACAAGAGTCTTATGCATCATCGAGAAACTGCTTTGCCAGGCCAGACATCTAGCTTCTTTGCAGTAGGAGCAGAACCTGGCAAAAAGAGGAGACTAATTCGCAAAAAATAAAAAAAAGAAAGAAGCCGATGTGTATCCTGCAAATAAGTAATTTGGCAACATATGCACACTGCAGAGAAATAAACACAAATAATGTATCAATGGTGCAGAAACTGATGATTTTCTTCTTCTAAACAGCAAGCACCTCTGCCTATTTATTAGTTAAGCATAAGAACGTTAGGTTTATTTTTTATTCAAAGAATAGAGATTGATTAGGACAAATTGATTGTCATGCATGGACTCGAGGAGCATATGAAAATAAACCTAAATTCAAGCGCAAAGAGGTGCTTGTCGAATCAAATTTTAGGTGCATAGCTAATCATATTCTAAATATTTTGCTTTTTGAGTAACAGTGAATAATTCTTACCACCAATTGCATATACCAATAATTTTGTAGTGCGGGTTGAGAGTGAATGGCATGGTTATGACCCTGCATCACAACATGTTGAGATGTGAGTCAATACTCAAGAATCATGTTCTCAAGCATTTTTTTACTAAAGCTGAAAATGTAGAGGTACTAATTCTATGTATAGGAGAGTCATGTTCTTCAGCAAGGCTATATTTTTACTTTCGAACGCTTTCCATTCGTTAGGATCTATCCTCCCAATTGTTCAAGTCTGCCTCCTTGAATGTCTGTTGGACTGTAGTTTAGCATAAACATATCGATAACTTTAATGCTTCTTGCACAACAAAATTTGATCTGGATACATGTGGTGTACGTGATCCACAATCTATTCGACAACATCATCAGAAAGATGTAGGCCTGATTCATTCAAGATTGACATACCAAACTCTAAAGGTAGTGTGCGTGCCATACTTAGTGGATATAATGGGTTTTGTGTTATTTTTTTAATGAACCAAAGAGTAGTACTGATAGAGCTGAAGGATAAGCATCTAAATTGACAAATTGCACTGTATGGTGGTATGCTCAAAACATCGTGAAGTAGTCTATTAAGTTTTCAGGATTATGTGCAAAATAATTCAGTATATAAAAAATACATGCCACTTCATATTCGATGCTACTACTTGTGCCTCGTAGAACCCATAGTCAAAATGCAACTGCGAGAAGGAATTCTTCAAATATCAAATAGAGAAGAACATATATAAACACAAGTCACCCCAAATCCTATATAGCAACCTGCTGCCACTTGAATATCTACACATAACCAAACACACGCAGTCACACACTGAAAAAACAGAGGTATGAATCAAAGAAATAAGGTGAGGAAGAAATAGCCTGAACTGAAGGTGTCCTTCCTGATCTCCAACAGTGCATCTCGGAGGGCATGGTCGGCTGCGGCGGACAACATTCTTCATCCACGTCGTTCCCAAGAGGCTGACGACATCTAGTGTTGGCGGAGCCCCCTTCCCCTCCACCCAAGGGCTGTAGTTTGGCAACCGGCACTGACGTCCCGTCAAGGAGGCACACTGCATTGAACAACAGGAAGATCACATGGACAACAGTGATACGTCTCCAGCGTATCTATAATTTTTGATTGTCCCATGTTGTTATATTATCATTCTTGTATGTTTTATATTCATTTTATAGCAACTTTATATCATTTTTGGGACTAACCTATTGACATAGTGCCCAGTGCCAGTTGCTGTTTTTTGCTTGTTTTTTCCTTCGCAGAATATCCATATCAAAGGATTCCAAACACAGCGAAATTTTTTGGAGATTTTTTTTCTGCCCAGAAGACAACTTGGGAGCCAAGGAAGTGCACGAGGGAAGGCCCGTTGGGCCCACCACCCACGTGAGCGCGCTAGAGGCCCCTAGCGCGCCCTGATGGGTGGTGGGGCCCACGGAGGTCCTTTCCACCGCCTCTCAGCTCTGTAAATACCCAAATATTCTAGAAACCCTAGGGGAGTCAACGAAACACAATTCCAACCACCGCAAGTTCCAAAACCATGAGATCCAATCTAGAGGCCCTTTCCAGCACCTTGCCAAAGGAGGACACGATCACGGAGGGGTTCATCATCCTCGCTGGTGCTCCTCAAATGATGCGTAGTAGTTTACCACAGACCTACGAGTCCATAGGCAGTAGCTAGATGACTTCTTCTCTCTTTTTGATTCTCAATACAATGTTCTCCTCGATATTCTTGGAGATCTATTTGATGTAATGACTTTTTGCGGTGTGTTTGTTGGGATCCGATGAATTCCAAGTTTATGATCAGTTCTATATATGAATATTATTTGAGTCTTCTTTAATCTCTTATATGCATGATTATTATAGCCACATATTTCTTCTCCGAAACTTTGGTTTGGTTTGGCAAACTAGATTGTTTTTCTTGCAATGGGAAGAGGTGCTTTGTGATGGGTTCGATCTTGCGGTGTCCTCACCCAGTGACACAAGGGGTAACGAGGCACACATGTATCATTTCTATTAAGGATAAAATGATGGAGTCTATTCCTACATGAATAGATCTTGTCTACATCATGTCATCGTTCTTATTGCATTACTCCATTTCTCCATGAACTGAATACACTAGATGCATGGTGGATAGTGGTCGATGTGTGGAGTAATAGTAGTAGATGCAGACATGAGTTGGTCTACTAATCTTGGACGTGATTCCTATATACATGATCATTGCCTTGGATATCATTATAATTATTTACTCTCCTATCAATTGCCCAACAGTAATTTTTTTACCCATCGTATGCTATTTTTTTCGAGAGAAGCCACTAGTGAAATCTATGCCCCCTGGTCTATTTTCTATCATATTGTTTTCAGATCTATTATTCCAAAAATCTAAAAATACCTTGCTGCATGTTTTATACTTATTTTTTATGTTTTGCTAGATCTATTTATCCAATCTCATACAATTTGATCTATCTTAATACAGAGGAGGGATTGCCAACCCCTCTTACACATTGGGTTGCAAGTATTTGTTCTTTGCGTGCATGTACCGTTTACATAGTATTGTTTGGTTCTCCTACTAGATTGATAACCTTGGTTTCATAATTGAGGGAAATACTTACCATTGCTGTGCTGCATAATCCTCTCCTCTTCGAGGAAATACCAACGCAGATACAAGCAATCAAACAACATCAGTCTGTCTCCTCTTTGCTTGTGCCGCTAGGGTCGTCGATGGGCAGTAGCCGATTTGGCGTGGATTTGCGAGCACAGGAGGTGGAGTCTTGTACCGGTGGCAGATTTGATAGGCGAACCAAGAAGATGGAGCAACGTAGGCAGAATTTGTTGGGAAATGGAGTCGAAGTGGAAGTGGAAGGGGAACATGCAACGAATTATCCGGTGACTGCGTTTCTGCTGCGTAGGTGAGGAGCCAAGGGAGGTGGAAGAACGTGGAGCCAACGCAAGGGGGTCGTTCTGTTCGCTAGTCAAGAAGTGGCGGAGGATGATGCGGCAGAGAGGGTCGTTCTGTTCGCTGGTCAAGCGGTAACGGAGGGTGATGTGACAGAGCAGCTGTGGTGGTAGAAGTTGATGTGACGAACCTGCTGAGGTGGATAGGCTGCATGTCAAGAGAAATAGAACAGTGGGGATCAACTATTTAGATATTATATATTTGCCATGATACACGCACTAAAATTTGTCATGGTCCATACAAAAAATATTTTTCATGGTCAAAATACTAGAATTGCCATGGTTAAAATACTAAAATTACCAAGATCTATGAACTAAAATTGACATGATCTATAAACTAAATTTGCCATGTTGAATTACTAAAAATGCCATGATCCATGAATTAAATTTGCCATGGTTAATTACTATAAATTTCCATGGTCAATTAATAAAAATTACCGTAAAAAATAGTTGAAATACAATAGTAGCATTGAATCTAGAATAAAAACTAGATGAAACATGTCATGGTAACTTTAGTTTAAATACTATGACAATGTCGGCGTAAACATCGTGGAAACTTTTGGCTAAAATAAATTATCGAAACATATCAACATGAAATCTAGTTTTGAAAAATCTAGTTTTGAAGATCTCGTCGAGGCAAATTTAATAGTGAAAACAGATTTTTAGTCGGACTTTTTATTTATGAAATAAACATTTTTAGTTCTGAAAACAAAATTTTTTTCGCTGATGTCATTTGTTTTGACGTCTTTTCTGATAATACTGAAGTGCCGACTACTTAATTAATCAGTGAACGATCTGTAGGTGGCCTAAATCTAGCTCGCTTGGTTCTATCCAGTCCACCTGGTTGCTTCTTCACTCCAAAAACTCACGCTCGCCATGGCCATTGCCATGGCCTCGACCTCCTCCCCTGTAGCGGCCCTAAAGCACCCCCATTTTCTAGACTCCAAGGCCCTGAAGTCTCTCAAGCGCGCGAGAACCCGCTCATGCGCCCTCGCCGACGCTGACGCCGCCGCGGCCGCCCCCCGCACGTTCCAAGCGGAGCTCCGGCCGGACTCGAAAAACGCGCCCGCGCTCTCCGCTGAGATCCGCCGTCTCGTTCGTGCAGGCCGCCTTCGCTCTGCGCTCTGCCTCCTCGACCATTTATCCCACCGCGGCGTCCCGGCGAGCCCCTCAGCCTTCACTGCTCTCCTCTCCGCATGCCGCTCCCTCGCCCACGCCCGTCAGATCCACGCCCACCTCCGTGTCCACGGCCTTGACTCCAATGAGTTTCTCCTAGCCAGGCTCGTCGAGGTTTATCTTGCGGTCGGTGCTGCTGAGGAGGCCCGCCAGGTGCTCGGCGGTTTGCCCAGGGCCAGTGCCTTCTCGTGGAATGCTTTGCTCCACGGGCACGTTCGCAGGGGCCGGAGAGAGGCAGGGGATGCTGTCGCTGGCGGGTTTGTGGAGATGCGTGCTGCTGGGGCTAATGCCAACGAGTACACGTACGGCTGTGTCCTCAAGTCCATCTCTGGGAGTGCCAGGCCATCCATGGTCATGGCCACCGCCACACACGCCATGCTGGTCAAGAACGCATTTGCAGGTGCGCCGGGCATGCTGATGACTGGCCTCATGGATGTCTACTTCAGGTGCGGGAAGGTGAAGCTGGCGATGATGGTGTTTGAGGAAATGCCAGAGAGGGATGTCGTTGCATGGGGGGCAGTGATTTCTGGGTTCGCACACAAGGGGTTGAAGAGGGAGGCACTGGAGCATTTCCGGTGGATGGTGGAAAACGGAGTCAAGGTGAACTCGGTGGTGCTCACCTCAATCGTGCCAGTTATTGGTGATATACGTGCACGGAACTTAGGGAGGGAGATTCATGGGTTGGTGCTGAAGAAGTTTCCAGACCGTAAAGATGTAGCAAAGGTCCACGCAGGGCTGGTAGACATGTACTGCAAATGCGGCGATATGGTCTCTGGGAGGCGAGTGTTCTATAGCACCAAGAAGAGGAATGCTGTCTCATGGACAGCATTAATGTCTGGGTATGCATCCAATGGGAGGCCAGATCAGGCGCTGAGGTGCATAGTTTGGATGCAGCAAGAAGGAATCCGACCAGATCTCGTTGCGGTTGGTACTGTTCTCCCAGTATGCACAAAATTGCGAGCATTGAGCGAGGGGAAGGAAATCCATGCATATGCTTTGAGGAGGTGGTTCCTGCCAAATGTCTCATTATGCACTTCGCTCATCACCCTGTACGGTACATGCTGTCATTTAGAATACTCTCGCAGGGTGTTTCATGCTATGGATAAGAAAACTGTACGAGCTTGGACTGCATTGGTTGATGCCTACCTAAAGAACAGAGACTCTTCAACTGCTATTGAAGTGTTCAGATCAATGCTGCTGTCGAACCGTCGGCCTGATGCTGTTGCCATCACCAGGATACTGAGTGCCTGCTCTGATATTGGAGCATTACAACTTGGCAAGGAAGTTCATGGTCAGGTGTTGAAGTTGCGGATGGAACCTCTCCCGTTAGTTGCCGCAGAACTTGTTAACATGTATGGCAGGTGTGGGGACCTGAAGGCAGCACAGAGGGTGTTCAATCGAACAGACTCCAAGGGATCCTTGACGTGCACTGCAATAATAGAAGCTTATGCAATCAACCAGCGGCACAAGGAGGCACTGGATCTCTTTTCATGGATGCTGTCAAATAACTTTGCCCCAACTATTGTCACCTTCAATGTGGTTCTGAGAATCTGTGATGCAGCAGGATTGCATGATGAAGCTCTCGAGATTTTCGACTCCATGGTACAAGGGTACAACCTGGAAGCATCTGAAGAGAATTATGACTGCATCATCAGCCTTCTTACTAGTGCTGGCAGGACTGCCGAAGCACAGCGTTTTGCTGATTTGAAAGCTGCACTGTTTAGTTCACCTGCTCCTTTTTTGGATTTTGAACAGCAGTAATTTTGTAAATATAATTTTTGACCTCCCTTCCAATATTAATAGAAGATTTGTCAAAATGATACTGATAAGAATTAGTATTTCACAACTCACAGAAAAGAAATATACTTTGTTACTAACAAGTAATGCCATCAGTTGCTAGGTCGAAAATTCAATATTAACCTCAACTGCTGCACCACACCAATAACATTATTGCCTTTATTCCCTCACAACAATTATCGTATCAGAAAGTTAGGGGTTTGGGTTTATGGCTTATCTGTTCGCTTCAGTTAGATTTTTTCCGGACTCATGCATGAATCTTCTTTCACATATTAAAAGCGAAGAGTTTGTTGCATTGCTTACTGAGCCATAATAAATAGGGTTAGTAATTTACGTAAGTTCTTTTTCCAGCAATAGGTGTTCATGTAGAAATGTATAGCTAGTAGTCTAATTGTCCGTCTTCTTTTTACTGTTATGTGGAACATTGACCTTTTATATTGACATGGTAATTAAACAGCTAACGGCGATCCTTTTATCTACAAAAGGAGTATATAACAGATAAAGAAAGAAACCTGTTGACTATTTTTGGAACAGAACATAGCTGATAACTATTTTTAGCTCTCGGAAATCCCTCCTATCCATTCCTTTATTGTCAGTTACTTCTAATATTTTGTTACTGTAAAAAAAACTTCTAGTGGTTTGCGGCATTTCCTTTTGAGATTTTTTCCCCATTTTGGTCCGTGCTACATTAGGAAAGAAATAAAAGAGGAATTTTAAAGGGAACTTCATTTCTGTGAAATCTCTATCTTCTGTTCTGGTCTTTCCGAATTCAATTTCGCTTTGCATTGCTGTTTATCTTCTCTCCTCTCCATCCAAGGACTATAATGGGGAGTAGGCACCATGATGTTTTCTTGCTAGGGAAAAACAGATTGATACCAGGTTCTTGGTTCTTGTTATTGGCATGTGCCTTTACACCAAGCTGAAGTTTTCAGTGTTCAGCTGCCTTCCAAAGGTCAGAATTGTATCAATGAATTGTGTTTCGTGTTCCATATTTACTTACCTGGATTTGAAAGAATTTTTGTGGGTTACAAATCACCGGCAAATTTGCCACATTGGTCGGAATCACATAATTCAATGAAAGGAATTTTTTTGACTGTTTTAGCTTGAGGTCCAATTTGGCACTATTTTCAAGGATTCAGTTTCTGTCAGATTATTGTTTGGTTATTTGTACCACTTCATCTATTTTCTCAAATATGTTTTTTTACATCAAAATTAAGCTTGTAGTTTGTTTTCCAAGAATACCATAAAAGTGGGAAAGATCATCTGAAAATCTCTCAATCATTGTTTGGTTAAGAAAACAAACAAGCTTGTAGCAAGATTTAGAATCTGAGGCAATGGTCATTTCTTGTCAAGCGCAGATATTGGCTAGAAAGACTGCAAAGATTGGTCTCGATCTGATTCACTTGTTCAAGAAGGCATCACATGTGCTTATGGGCTGCCTTTGCTCCAAAGGCGCCAAAGATCATGCTGATGCCACTTCCGAAAACAGAGAACCATCAAGTAAAGATGACCCTAAGACTGCATCAGGTACGAATGATGGCAGCAAAGTCATGCCATATGCTGGAGAGAAGGTGGTGGTAGCTTTTGATGCTAGGTTCAGCAGTTGTAACAATGCAGAGTTGAAAGGGCTCTCAGGTGAGCATGTTGTTTATGGGTGGCCAACTTGGCTTGCAAATGTGGCGCCTAAAGCAGTAGAAGGCTGGTTGCCTCGACGAGCCGATTCATTCGAGAAATTAGACAAGGTGAACAACTGATTTGATTGTGTGGCTTATGTATATTAAATTTCCTGATAAAGAATATTCATTAATTGAATGCTTTCTTTTGAGTTGTAGATTGGACAAGGAACTTACAGTATTGTGTATAAAGCCCGAGATCTTGAAACAGGGAAGATTGTTGCACTAAAGAAGGTGCGGTTCGTCAACATGGATCCTGAAAGTGTTCGCTTTATGGCTAGAGAAATCCATATTCTTCGGAGACTGGATCATCCAAATATCATAAAGCTTGAAGGAATTGTAACATCTCGTGTGTCGCAGAGCCTGTATCTGGTTTTTGAATACATGGAACATGACCTTTCCGGTCTTATTGCAAGTCCAGGCCTCAAACTCACCGAGTCACAGGTGGTTAGCGTCCGACTCTTGCATTGAACAGTTAAGAAACTTACATTGACTAAAACAATTAAACATGAATGTCAGATAAAGTGCTTCGTTCAGCAGCTGCTTCATGGCCTTGATCATTGTCACAAAAATGGAGTTCTGCATCGAGACATCAAAGGATCGAACCTCTTGATTGACAGCAATGGAGTACTGAAGATTGCAGACTTTGGCCTGGCAACATCTTTCGACCCTGACAATCCACAACCACTAACTAGCCGTGTTGTGACATTGTGGTACAGACCACCAGAGCTTTTACTTGGTTCCACAGAGTATGGTGTCGCTGTGGATATGTGGAGTACAGGGTGTATTGTGGCAGAACTCTTTGCTGGCAAACCAATCATGCCAGGAAGAACCGAGGTATTTCTTATTTTGCCTTCGAAGATCCAGAAACAACATCAGTTACCTTTCAGATTTTTATGCTGGTTGATGTCTTATGATTTTTTTTACAATAATGTTATCGTAGGTGGAGCAAATTCACAAGATCTTTAAGCTCTGTGGGTCGCCGATGGATGACTATTGCAAGAAATCAAAGGTGCCAGAAACAGCGATGTTCAAGCCTCAGCAGCAATATAGGCGGTGTGTTGCTGAGACTTTCAAAGATTTTCCTCCTTCCACTGTAGTTCTCATAGACTCCTTGCTTTCATTAGAACCAGAAGTTCGTGGAACAGCTTCCTCAGCTCTTCAGAGTGATGTAAGTTTCCGATCCTCTCATAAGAATCTTTTGTATGGTGCAATACCTGGCTTACAAACCTTATTCAGACTTTTCTTTGGTGTTGCAACATATTAATGAATATACATGCAGTTCTCCTGCATGGTCTCCTTTTTTTTAACTTCTCGGAAGTTTAACATATTAGTGTAGTTAAAATTAGACCGCTGTTAGTATATTTTGAAATGAATAGCTATCAGTGGTAAGTGGTTATCTTAGTTGCTGCCGGTTTTCTGATCTCCCTTGTGTGACTGTGCATCTACCTGTAGTACTTTGCTTATGCGAATATCTCAGGATCTGTAGTACTTATCCTATGTTTCAAATCTCTTTCAGTTTTTTAAAACAAAGCCACTTGCTTGTGACCCTTCAAGTCTACCGAAACTTCCAGCAAGCAAGGAGTATGATGTTAGACTCAGGCAAGAGGAAGAGAGGAGGTACACTTGCCAACATCACCATTTCTTGTTCCATCTGGACTCATTGCACTCCTTGTTGGGCGGTTCAATCAAATGCCAACACTCTGCATTCATGTTCTTGCAGGCAAAGAAAGGCAGCTCTTGGTGGACGAGGAGCTGAATGTTCCAAACCAGGAAATGAAAATCATGTAACCAGTCCTGCTGTCAATGGTGCTGCTGAATCGAAGGTAGCGATTCCAGATTATTGCTTGAGTTCCCAATTATAATATATTATTATACAAAAAATCAAATAATTAGTCTGTTCTGTTAATTCTAAATATGTACAGCTAACAAGGTTTTATGCTTTAAAAAACATGGGCAAATTCCTAAAAAGTTACCCCTAAAACATGAGCACATCTCTTTATAAGGCATGCACCTTCGGAAGTACATCTGCCTGTCCCTGTCACCCTGCAGGAACACGCGCATGCCAGTTCAAAGAGCAACAGCGTGAAGTTCTACCCCGAGGATAGCGTGCCCGGTTTCCGGGTGGAGCCACGCCCGTTGCCAACCACGGTGCAGGTTCCTGGATTTGGCTCTACATGGAACATGGGAGGTTACACAGATCATCCAACGACGCCTGGTTGTGCCTGCAGTTCTGTTCATGTCGCAAATTCCTCTACCTCGAGGACAAAGGCATCATCGCATTCACATATACCACAGTTTTGCACGACAGATCTGAGGAATGCAGTTGAGGTTACATATCAGAATCAGCCACCTGATAGGCCTGCATCATCTCACAACAAGAACCCCCTAGAGGTGCAGGACGCTATGATCAGTGTGCTACTGCTAAGGGAAGTATTGAGGATTTATATTCTTTCATCTCACATGGCTCGTACCATTGCCTTTCTGTGGTCAGAACCATGGAAGGAAGCTCAGGAGGATCCACCACTCGGGGCCATTGGTGCCGCTGGGAGGGAATATCGAGGACATGCTCAAGGAGCACGAGAGGCACATCCAAGAGGCGGTGCGCAAGGCACGGCTCGGCAAGACGAGCAGGTAGCGAGCAGCTGAAAAGGTCGTACGGGAGCTCTGCGAACATGGACCGGATTTCAGAGGTGTCAGCACCACATTCGTCTGCGAAGCTGCCGTTTCACGTTGCTGCAGGTCCCCCTGTATAGAGTTTTAGCATGTAACCGTGTGTTCTCATATAGGATATTGGGGTGTTTATATACTTTATAAACTGAAAAAGCGCAGGGCATGACTGAATTTATAGATCTCTCTGCTCTTTTTCCTTCTTAGTGTATTTTTTATGGTAACTCCTTGTTAGTGTATAATAGTACCTGAACCTAAAGTTTCATCAAGGTTTGGTACACTTGATGAATTATGAGCCGTTCTTGCTTAGACAGACCTGAACTCCAACGCAGGTACCCATTTCGTCGGCCGCCGTCCGTTTGGGTCGCCGCGGACAAAAGTGTTGGCCCAACGCGTCGACCCATTCCTAAAACGCGTCCGCGCGGATCCATTTGCGGCTCAAATTTACGGCTGAAATGCGTCGGTGCGGACGCAAAGCGGACTTGCCACGTGTCCTCTCGGTGTTCGCTGCGTCCCCACCTGGCGGTCGCCAAACTACCACGGTTAGCTTTATTAATGATGACCCCTGTCGTGGGCCCACGCATCAGCGACGGTGGTCGGCCTTTTCTAATCCAAGCGTGCGGTGTGGGGGGGGGGGCTCATCCGCTTACAGACGCCCCGTCCCCATCTCGCCACCCCTGTGCTCCCTCGCCGGCGACAAAGCCTAGCAAACCCTAGCCACCGCAATGGGCCTCTTCTCCGGCAAGGGAAAGGGCAAGGCGACCGCTGGCCCTTCCCGCGTGCTCCCCCTGCCTCCGCCGTCGTCCTCCCATCAGCCGAGGCAGCGCATCGACATCCTAGTGTAGCAGGCGAAGTGGCACTGGGAGCACCGCATCCCCCCTACCTCGACATGACACTGCCACGTGACTGTCATGGATCCGGAGAGGATCCCAGTGTCGGCGCGCCGCGGTCGGTGCGGGCGCACGTGGAGGAGGTGCGGCGCCGGAGGCAGCTGCTGACGCCGGAGCAACGCCAAGAACCGACGTACGCGTTCGACTCGCCCGCGTGGCAGCGGTGGTCTGCCTTCGAGTACGAGGAGGCCAGGAGGTGCGACGTCCGCGATGTGCACCATGGCTTCCCGCTGCCAGCCCTCGTCGTGCACGACGAGGTCTAGGAGGAGAAGGCCACCTACCAGGCGGCGCTGGCCGCCGTCCTTCATGAAAGCGAGGAGTGGCGCATGAAGGAGGAGGCGTACCAAGCGCGCATGGCGGAGGCTATGGCGCTCTCCGCAGCCGGTTACTGTGTCGTGCCGCCGTTGAGGCCATCGTCCCCCGTCAAGGCCGAGCCGGAGCCAGAGCCAGAGCCGATCCCCATCGAGCACTACTCACAGACCAGGCGAGTGCGCGAGTGGGTCAGCATGCTGCCGGTCTGGTTGGTGTTGTGGACTCTCGCGGGCCTTTGTGGCCGGCATTGATGTTTAATTAATGCTTTTATTTTTCAAAATGTTGGCGCTAATGATTTTTTTCACGCGACCTCAAAAATTGATCGGGCCAGTGTCGGGCGCAAGCGCCGACCCAAACGCGAAAGCGGACATGACTGTCAGCTGGGCCGATCCAAACGGACAAAAAGCGGACAAAAGCGCCATCCGTTTGGGTCAGCGCGTTGAAGTTCCTCTTAGTTTGGTGGTTCTGCGCAGTCTTTTTTCAGAAAACACGCAAGATTCATGTCTTTTTTGGGAAACGCTTAAAACCAACCGTTGATGCAACCCGCGTGTCCGCGAAATCACTAGTTAAGGAGCGCTCCCCGCAATGATTAGTCGGGGAGCGCTCCCCTCTCGCCAAGTGTCACGTGCGGAGTGCTCGTGAGACTTTTCCGTGGCGCTCCGCGCGCGACACTTGTCGCACGCACGCCCTCTCCCGTGATTTTTGGTTTCCGGTTTCTCTTTCTGGTTTTTCCTTTTTTCACTTTAGTCCTTGTACTTTTAATGTTCTGTAATACACTTTTGATCTGTTTTGAGATATGTTTCTATCTGGTGTGGCTGAACCGTCGCTGCGGACTGTTCTTTCTTTGGCGTCGTCTCTGCCCGTCGCGGCCGCCGCTCTTGCTGCATGGTTACGGCGGCCCCCGTCGCGGCCGCTGCGCTTGTCACGTGCTCTTACGGCGGTCCTTCTTTAGCGTCGACCGCGCCTCCCGTTCGCGGTATCATCATTCCCTACGAGGTTGCATTCGCGGGTTCCCTGTTTCCATTTGGTTTCTCTTTTTGTTCCCATTATATTTTTGTATATGGAGATTTATGGGGTAGTTACGGGTGGGGACTACCAACACTATCAGATGTCAAGTTTGAACTCAGTTTTCTGGAATTAGTTCTTGATAATCATTGTGTTCCTTGCAAGTATGACTTGTCCTTTTTGCCGTATGCCTGCTGGCCCGTGTTCTTCTGTTGATTCTTCTGTAGATGGGTTCAGTGTGGTTCTGGATTGGCATTGTTTGAGGTGTGTTGTAAGAATATCATTTTATAATTGTTTAATTTTTGGCACACATGCTTATTTCTTTTGGTGCTGCCCATGCTATTTTGATTTTGATTATGATCCTTGTTTTGATTTGTTGTGGAGTATGTTCCGTGCAGTGTTAGAGCTCATCTTGCTTGTTACATCGAGGAGTGAAGGGCTTTAGCCATAAGGAGGGGTGACTAAGATACTGATCTTGCTCTTCAGTGCAATGAGGATTATTTGTACGGTGTTCTGTTTAGTCATGGTCGGGTGAGAAGCAAATTTAATGGTCCTTCCTGGGAACGATTGGTCAGTGATTATGGTGTTCGTCCTTCTGATATAATGACTGTTAGGCTTGAGCATTATGGGACGTGGATTGGTATTGATTTTTATCATGTTGGTCATGGAGATGCGTTGTCTCCTTTACCATCTGCTGGCAAGGTTTATTTTTAAGAAAGTTTTTAGCTTGTTTTATTTTACATGATGATTTTTTTGTTCCCTTTAGCCTGTGTAATTATATTTTGTAGCTCTTGATGGTTTGAGCGACTCCTAGAAGGAACTTGTTGGGAGTTGTTATTACACCCGTGGTGTTTTTCTTAATTATCAGCAGATGTATTTCATGAGGTGTCAACTCTTTGATGATGAGTACATACCCTGTTGTCCTTTTGTTCACAGGATTGATTCCATAAATGTTAATGGTCATCGTATGGTCAGATTGTTTTTCCATTGTTTTTCTTAGTTTCTGTTATTTATTTATTTATTTATTTTTATTATCTCTTCTATTTATAGTTTTGAATTTTTGTTCTATTTCTGATAACTTGATGTTTTTGTCAGGTTATTCCTGGTATTGTTGTGAGGAGTTTGAAGGAGTTTGTGACATTTCCTAGGACTGGAGTTTTAACTCTTGAAGTTACTTTGGAAACTCTTGATGATGATATATATGTGAGCACTCCTTGCTCCTACTTTGTTGGCTTGGGCAATAGAATGGTGTTCAAAGAGGAAGGTTCAGTGATTTTCTCCAGGCATCGTTTATTGAAGTAAGCAACTTGGTGCTGATAACTTTCAAAGAGCGTGATGGGAGGCTTGTTGTTATCTTCAATCTTCTGCCGCAGTGATGTTAGTTATAGCCTTTGAACATAATGGATTTTGTTTAAAAATCTATGCTATGGTGTAATGTTATTTAGATATATGAAACGATTGCTGTTGTTTAAAAACCTAACTGTTCATTGTTGTTGTTCGTTTGTAGAAGAGGCATGGTTGTGTATAAATACATTAGAGGCACGTGTGTTCTTTACTCTGACATGTGTTGTAGAGACAGGAATGTCTGTGCAGCATCAAAGAGGCATGGACGATCACGTGTGAAATAGCTTGTAGAATCACGACGCGTGTTATGCGAGGCACGGGTGTGTGGGCATGAGAGACACGTGAGTGAAACCTCTATAGGGGAGGCACATGTATAGGCTGGTTGCATCCGGCAGCATAGGGCTTTACTGAGAGGAATGTGTGTGTAGCACCAAAGTTGCACGAGCGATCACACGTGCGGAGCACGTAGAGTTACTGTCGGTTTCATGTGAGGCACGTAGAGTTACTTTGGTTTTCATGTGAGGCACGTGTGTGCGGAGCACGTAGAGTTACTGCGGGTTTCATGTGAGGCATGTGGATTGAGCAATCGGAGTCACGTAAGTGAAGTCAGTACATGCACGGTTGTTTGGAGGCACAGGTATACTGAGAGGAGCGTGTGTGCAACACCAAAGTTGCATGGACAATCACGCGTGCGGAGCACGTAGAGTTATTGTTGGTTTCATGTGAGGCACGTGCATTGAGCAATCAGAGGCACGGAAGTGAAGTCAGTACATGCACGGTTGTGTGGAGGCACGGGTATACTGAGAGGAGCATGTGTGCAACACCAAAGTTGCACGGGCGATCACGCTTGCGGAGCACGTAGAGTTACTGTGGGTTTCATGTGAGGCACGTCGATTGAGGAAACAGAGGCACGAAAGTGAAGTCAGTACAAGCACGGTTGTGTGGAGGCACGGTTAATAACCCTCTTGCCGCTGTTAAGTTTCTAGAGGCACGGAAGTATGACAGCAGAGGCATCGGTCCGAATACTTGGTTAGAGAGGCTCGGTTGTGGATGCATAGGTGTGAATTCTCTAGGGTTACGGGCGTGTGGCACCACAGGCATGGGTTCGAATAGACACTTAGGGAGCCACGGTTGTACATAGGTCAGTTGCACATGGTAGTGTAGTTTTATGGCATCGTGCATAACTGGTGTATGGAGAGGAACCTGTGTGCAATAGCAAGGATGTTCTGAATGGACAGAGCGGTGTTTGATGTAAAATGGTTGTGTTGTGTGATTTTTTTTCAATGTGGTTAAAGTTACAAACTTCTTGTCCCTTGCGTCTGTGTACCGAATGTTTTTCTTCAATATTTATGGATTGTTTACGCCAATGTTGAATAAGCATTCTACTGAAAGTTTACAACGATACAATCACATATTATTGTAAATGCA